AGATAAAGAAAGCAAGCGGGGAAGAAATGGGGTCGGAAAGGATGGAGAAATAATCAAGAGATACTGCAATGCAGTCAGATTCAAACAAACTCCACGCTGTGCGCTGTGTAATGCGTTGCTCAGGGGAGCAGACCAACCAGACCAAGCAGACCATTCCAGCCACCTAGACGGGTCAAGCCCACACCAGAGTAAGGACATCAATCAGACCAACAACACCAACCAGACCTAAACTACATTGCAACACACCTGCACTGCACAACACAGATGCGGTTCAAAACACGTGGACCAGGCGGACCATCCAGACTAGCATTTCAAACCAGCGAAGTAGATCAACTAGACCAACCAAGCCAGCTAGCCAGACGAATCAGCTAGACCAGACCAAGCAAACCAACCGGACCAGCGAACCATGCAGATTAATTAAGCAGACCTGACAAATCAGCCAAACAAATCAGAGCCGTCCATCAGACCAGACTTTGCCGATCAAGCAAACTCAGCCACACCAGCCAGGCTAAAAATCAGTGCGCGCAAACTGCAATGTTCAAACAGCTGCAGTGCAAAACAACATATTAGGCAGACCAGCAAGACGAGGAACTCAAACCAGCCAAGGTGGGAAAGGATGGAGCGACAATCAAGACATGATGCAACTGTGCGCTGTGCGCGGTGTTGTGCGGTAGAGCAGGCCAACCAGACCAGTCAGCCATCTAGACCGAAGAGAGTTTGCGATGGAGCAACTTGGACTGGGCAGACCATTCAGAATAGCAGGTCGAACCAGCACAGTAGACCAACTAGACCAACCAGACCAACCAGCCAGACAAGTCAGCCAGACCAGATCAACCAGAACAAATGCAATGCGAACCAGCAGACCAAACAGCCAGACCAGCCAGGCCCAAAGCGAAGTAGACCAACCGGACAAAGCAGACCAGCCAGCCATCCACACCAGCGAAGTTCAAACCATAATAAGCAGATCAACGTGATCAACCGTACCACAACTGCACTGCAACAACAAAACACTGCGGCGGAACCACTGCTGCGATGCAAACGGCTTGATCCAAGCAGGCCAGCAGTGCCAGGAAGTCTAACCAGACCAGCCAGCCAACCACACCAGCCGAGCTCGGACCAGACTAAGAAGATCTGCCACCAACCGGGCCAACACTGCACTGCAAACCACATCCAGTGCAGCGGCAACTGCAGTGCAAGCGCACAACATATGCTGCTGTGGTCGTCGTGGGTGGCGCTGCGTGCTTCGCACCTCCCTGGAGGCCTCGCGAAGCAGCGGCACCCCGACGCAGACCAAACCTGCAGTGCACAACTAGCTGCAGTGCAAAAGCAGCTGCAATGCAACCGCAGCTATTGTTAACCGGCCTCGAACCTATCCCTATCCCTAAGATGTGCGAGCAAAAAGCGAGGACAATCTTAGGGATAGGCCCTCAGAAACTGAGGGAATCCTTGATATCGGTATCGAGGTGAGGTGATGTCAAACATGGGGATAGGGATATGTTTCAAACTGGTAAATTGTGGTGTCGCCGTCGTGATTGGCGCCGCGCGCGTCGCGCCTTCAAACCGCATTCGGCTCGCGCGCGGAAGCCTACTCGTGAGCTCGATCTCCGGCAGCGCGACGCAGCGGCACCCCGAAGCAGACCAACAGAGTGCAGTGCAGACACGCTTGCAAGGAACAGCAGCTGCAAGGCAAGCATGGCGCTCTTGCTGGCGCCGTCGTCGTTGGCGCCACGCGCTTCGTATCTCTGGACCTCCTCAAGCCACACTCGGATCGCACGCGGAATCACCATCTTAAGGTTCAAGCTCCAGCAGCGCAACGGCGGCACCCCGATGCAGACCACAATCACATTGCAAAGCAAGTGCAGTGCAAACAATACAGAGCAATGCACACACCAACTGTTTTGTTGTCGTCGTGGTCAGCGCTGCGCGCTTTGCATCTCTGGACCTCAGCAAGCCGCATTCGGCTAGCACGCGGGATCACAATCATAAACTCAAGACCTCTTAGCGAAACAGCGGCCGAAGGCTGAAGCTTCAAGCTTGCTCTTTCGAAGCTTGGCGTCCCGCCTTGCGCTACACGGCTTAGTCATGTATCACCTCCTTGCCCTGCGCCGCAAAATTCCACGATGTTCCTTGTCCACCGTCCACTGGTTGCGTTGGTCTCACCCGCCCAGACACTTCGCCAGTCTCGGCCCACTTACTTCTGAGAGCTCTGAGCGGAACTGCCTTTGCCCTCCTTTCGGCGTCGCCGTCGCCCCGACATACGAATACTACGTGTGTCGCCCCCCCAGGGGCGACGCGCGCACCGATAAATCTTATAGTATATGCGTCGTGGCAGGCGCTTTCTGGCCGTAACGCTAGGGAAACGATCTACTGCAATAGTTGTGTACTAGATGTTCTGGTCAGACGGGTGCCTCTGAGGAGGACACACAGTACTGGTATGACCTTGTGCGTCCCATCCTTCTCCTCGTTCTCATCCTCGCCCTTCTTCGGCAGCGCGCCCGGGCTGAAGCGAGAAGGCGTGGGCCTTCTCAGAAGGCTTGGAAGGCCCCTGGCCTTCGAGAAGTCTTCCAAGCCTTCCCCGAAGACGCATCAAACCTTTCAGAAGGCGCGAGGGCTTCTGAGAAGTCCCGCCGCCTCCTGAGAAGGCCTCCTCCTTCTCACTTCCCCCCCTGGCTCGCCGCCGACCCCTTCCTCTCACCGCTCCCCCCTGCCCCCCCCGCCCCCCCATCCTGCCGAGGAGGAGGAGGAGGAGGAGGAGGAAAGAGGAGGAGAAGGAAGGTGAGGAGGATGAGGAGGAGGAGGAGGAGGAGGAGGAGGAGGAGGAGGAGGCACCCCCCCCTGTCTTCCCTCTGCTGCTGCGTTGCTGCTTCTGCTGCTGCTGCTGCTGCTGCTGCTGCTGCTGCTGCTGCTGCTCCCCCTCTCGCCCTTCTCTGCCCACGGGCTCCTGCCCTGTCCTGCGCAGCCCCTCGTCCTTCCCCGCGCCCCCCCTTTTCCCGCCCGCCCTGCTGCTACTGCTCCTCCTGCTCGATCCCTTCTCTTTGTCCCCCCTCCTGCTCCTGGTGCTTTACCCTCCCTTGCCCCCCTCGCTCGACCCCCGCCCCGTTGGCCAGAGGATCCAAGCACGAGATGCTGGCCTCGAAGAGAGGAAGTCTGTTTCCCAAGTGCGAAGCGAACCTGACGACAGGGCCCGCCCGTCGCCAGACCCTTGGCCCACACGGAGTTGCTCGAGGCCTTCCTGCCGCAGCCCTGCTGCCCCGCTGCCTTTGCAACCCCTCCTCTCTCATCCATCCCGCCTTCTCCCTCCTCGCCCTCTCCTCTCTCGCAGCCGTTTTGGCTCAAGCCGCTCCAACCCCCCCGCCTCGCGCCACAGCCGCCCGCGCGCAGAGGAGCCCGAGCGTGGCTCGCCCATGCCCGCCGCAGCGCCTCCCGCGATCGCCTCCCCGGACCGCGGCGCCGGCGCCGCCGCGCGCACTGGCGCCTGCGCGCGGACCGCCGCGCCCGCCCAGGCCGCCGCGCGGAGCCCGAAGGCGCTGCCGCTGGGCGACCGCCTCGGGCGCGCGCCGCCGACGCCGCTGGGCGCGCCGCGCGCGGCCGCGGGCGCGGGCAGCCCACAGCCGCGGCGCTGGGACCCCAGCACCCGGACGGCCTGCGCGGCGCCGGCTGTGTCCGCCTCGCCCAGCCGCGCTCGGCGCCCTCTGAGCGCCTCGCCGGGCCGCGGGGCCCCCTCGCCGCAGCTCGCGTGGGAGGGCGCGCTGCGCGCGCCGCCCCTGGGGCACGGCGGCGCGGGCGCCGCAGTGCGCCGCCCGAGCCACTCGCCGACGCCAGGGCAAGCCGGGGTGCCCTCGAGGGTGTTCGTTTCCTCGTCGCCTCGGCCACGGCTGCCGCAGGGCACCGAGTCCACTGCGGCAGGGCCGCAGGCCACCGCGGAGCCCAATCTCGGGCGGCTTGCGCAGCACCGGGTCAGGCGCTGCCATTCGGCACCAGCGCCGTCGCAGCCGCGCGATTCCCGCGCAGACCTGCGCGTCGCAGTCGGGGCGATGGCGGCAAAGGCGAGGGAAACGAGTCAGGCTGTGAAGGAGGCCGTGAATGAGGCACAAGCCATGACGGAGGCCGTGAAGGAGGCCAGCTCCGCCGTGAAGGCCGCGAGGGAGCGCTCGCAGGACGCCTTGCGCCAGTTCCGATTGAGCAAGGCCGAGCTCGCGCATCCGCACAGGGCTGGCGCCGTCGCCACGCCACGCTCCGCGTGCGGATCGGCGCCCTCGACGCCACAGCTGGCCTGCCGCGCCGCGAGTCCAGGCGCTCCTCCCCCTGCCGTGCCAGCGGGTGCCACCCACCGTGCGGCAGACCGCCGCCCGCCGGACCCCCATGCCGCGAGCCCGAGTGCCACGCCGCCTCGCCGTCCGCCGCGCCAGTGCTTGGAGAGCCCGAGCCACGCGGCATGCTCACCGAGCGCCCGCAACGGCCAGCAGCCCCACAGCGCCCGCGTCTCTGCCGGCCAGCGGCCGCTCAGCTCCCACGCGTCTCCTGGAGTCGGCCCCGCGCCGCTGCCGACAGAGCAGCGCCCTCCCGTCGCGCCAGGGCCCGGGCCGTTCCTTACACCCGCACCCGCCGATGGCGCAGGCGCCGGCGGCCCACCGCTTGAGCCGCCACGCGGTACCGCCGTGGCGGCTTCGCCCAGGGACGAGCTGCAAAGCGACGGCCTGGCCGCTGATGCCGAGTGGGCCTCCGCGCGGCACGCCGCCAGCGCGCTTGCCACCGCGGCCGCCGCGGCGGAGGACGCCGCTGGCCTGCAGCAGCCCCCGCCCCTACTGGGCCCGCCCCCCCGCGCGAGGGATACCCCCAGCTCGGAGGCGCCCACACAGGGCGCTGGTCCTGCCTTCGCGGCAGCTGGCGGCGCCGGGGCTCGGGCGGATGTCGCCGCGCCGCGGCCGGCGCACCGCGCCGCGGCCGACGCGGATCGCGCAGAGCGTGGATCGTCGTGCTTCGGGCGCCCCGGCTGTGCCATGACGGGCGCCCTGGGCTTGGCTCCCGGTGGCGCGCCCAGCAGCGCCCGCGCCAGCTCCTGCACCCCCGCCCGCAGCGGCAGCCGCCGCGCAGCCCGCAGTGCAGGCGGCAGCGCCGCGGCCCGGGCCGCAGAGGCGAGCCGCCCCCGCCCTGAGCACCACGGGGCCCGAGCGCCCTGGGCCGCGGAGGCCCCCCAGGCCCCCGGCGCGGCGGCTGCCGCGCGCCTCGCGCCGCCGGCGGTCGCGCCCGCGAGGGCCTGGGAGAGGAGCGTGAAGGTCGGCGTGCTGGCCAGGCTGACGGACCTGCTGCTCCCCGCCGGCGGAGTGCCGAAGCCCCCGGGGGGCGGGCCGGGCGGCCAGGGGGCGCCGCCCGAGCGCGTGGCGGACGACGCGGAGGGCGTGGGCTACGAGGAGATCTCCTTCGAGGAGCCCATCGGGGCCGGCAGCTTCGGGGCGGTCTGGAGGGGCAGCTGCCGCGGCGACGTGGTGGCCGTGAAGGCGTGCAAGGTCGCCGATGCGCACGACGGCGCGATGCTCCTCCGAGAAATCCGCTACCTCCAGAGGCTCCGGCACCCCAGGCTGGTGTCCTTCCTCGGGTTCTGCAACCGGCCGCCCCACATCTACCTGCTGATGGAGTTCATGTCGGGAGGCTCGCTCCACGCCGTGCTGTTCGGCCCCCCCTCGAAGAGGGCCAGGCTCTCGTTCGAGAAGAAGAGCTCGATGGCGCTGCAGGTCGCGGAGGGCCTTGCCTACTTGCACGAGCTCAATGTGGTGCGCTCAGATATCTGTGGAAGCGCACGGGGTACTTAGTTTAGCAGCTTTCAGCTTCAATGCTACTCATCGTTCCACGTCCCCGTTTCCGTGGCAATGTCCCTGCGTTTCTCTCTCGCACCATCTGTTGTTTCCGTGCAGTTTTTGTCCCACAGTGCCCAGCGTGCTTTCCCCCCCCGCATTCGACTCTCCGAATGTCCTCCTGCCCGCTCGTGCTGTTGCTGTCTCGTTTCCGATGCATTTCCGTTCTTGCTCCATCTAACGTCCAGTCCATTCTCCCGAATCTGGCCTGCCCCCCCCCTCTTGCAGTCGCCCCTTTTGTTCCCACTCCTCGATCGCACCTCTTTTTTGTTTCCCGTTCCCGCGCTCCGCTTCCGTTTTTGTATTGTGAAGGCCTTACGGCCAGTGCCGCTGACCCCGAAGGCGGGACCTGCCCCAGGACCCCCGCGCTGGCGCCCCCGGGATCCCAGTGGGCGGCATGCTGACCCGGGACCATCCACACTTCACCAGTTTGAGACTTCTCCCTATCCCTGTGTTTGGCATGATTTCACCTCGATGCCGATCCTGAGGGTTCCCTCAGTTTCTGAGGGCACATCCCCAAGATTGTCCTCGCTTTTTCCTCGCCCATCCTAGGGGATAGGGATGAGTTCGAGGCTGGTTACCCCCCCACCACGGGCGGGACCTCCCCCTGGACCGCCCTCCAGGATCCCCCCCCCCCGCAGGGGGGGGCCGCCCCCTCTGTCCTTCCTGTCCGCAGGGGGGACCTGGGATGGGGAAGAGAGGGGGGCCGCCGGGACCCTGCGGGGGGCGGCTGCGGCAATTTGGCCCAGGACCCCCCCCCCTCCCCGTACTACCCCCCCCCCCTCTACCCCCCCCCCCAACGTCAGGGGGGGGAAGAAATAGGGGAGGGAATCAACTTGACTACGACGTTTCTTGTTCATGTTCGTTCCTAGATTTCCTTGGGACTGGTGACTGGTGACGACGACGACGACGATGACGACGACGACGACGACGGCGGCGGCGGCGGCGGCGGCGGCGACGACGACGACGACGACGGCGGCGGCGGCGGCGGCGACTTCGACGACGACACGACGACGACGAAGACGATGGCAGCGTCTCACACACGCCGAAGGAGTGGCGTATTTTCTCAAAACTCTGAGAGTCCTCAGAGACAACCAAGGTGGTGCATCGAGACTTGAAGACGATGAACATTGTGCTGGACGTGGATCTCAGCTGCAAGATCTGCGACTTTGGTCTCACCGTGACGCTTGAGAAGACGCACCTGACGGTCCGCCACGTGCAGGGCTCGCCGAGGTACATGGCGCCGGAGCAGTTCGAGTCGACCGCGAAGATCACTGAGAAGGTCGACATCTGGCAGATGGGATGCGTGATGCTCGAGCTCTTCTTCAGCTGCGTGCCCTTCAAGGGTGCCACCGGCATGCAGCAGATCGCGGCAGAGCTTCTCGTGAAGAGGCTTCACGCCGGGATGTTCTCCAAATCCACAGATCTTAAGGGTCCTCGCGAAGCGCCGGATGTGAATGTTTCCCGCCCCCGGCGGGCGGGAAAACATTCGCTCCTCGAGGTCCGGGAGGCTGCGTACCCAGGCCTCCCACGTCGTGCTTGTTCCTGCTGGGTGCAGACCCCCGAAGGTCTGGACCCCTTCCTGGGGCATCCCGCGCAGTTTTTCACGCTCCCGAGGCCCGTTGAGGGTCCCCAGAGGCAGAAAAAAGAATTGCTCCGACGGAAGGACCCCGCATGATCATCTGTTTAGCTTGCCCTTATCCGTTTCCTCCTGGCCATGGCAAAACCCTCCTCTCGCCCCCCCCCCCCTGCCCTCTTTCCTTCCTTCTTCTATTTCTCCCCCTCCCCCTCCTTCAACTCCTCCTCCTCCTTCTTCACCTCCTCCTCATCATCGCCCTCCCCCTACCCTTCCCCCCTCCTCCTCCTTCTCCCCCCTCCTAGAGGCAGAAAAAAGAAAAATAACCTCCCGTCGTGATTTTTGCGCGGCGCGAGGGGGTCAGGGTGCAGAGCTGTGGATCTGGAGGGCTCTCCAGCGCGGGGAGGCGGCCACCGAGTTGCCCGGCCGAGGCAGATCCTCGCGCGCGCGTCCTCGCGCAGTCCTGCCTCCGCGTGGATGCCCGCCAGCGGCCGTGGGCCACATCGCTGGTAGCGGCGCTGGCCTGCGTCCTGGAAGGTTGCGGGGATGCGGATCGCTGA